ACAGCAGCTGGCGAGGGAGGGGCTGTGAATGCGCACAGGAGAACTCCACAATTGATCTCCTAGTCTCTGGTGATCTTGAATTGCACCATCACCAAAAGATGCCAGGAATCCATTATCCTCCCACGCTGTCTGACTCTTCCTCACTAGCGCCTAGGTAAGCTAGGTTCCCTTCCCTGTGCTTTGGACTGCTGACGCTCCCCTGCAAAAGAACCACTCCAGAAGCAGTCGCCTGAGTCTGCCCAGAGACACGCCTGCGCACTGGCGACCACCAGGGTTTCCGGACCCTGCGGCGGCACAGGCTCTGCAGATGCTCTTGGGCCCCACCCTCAGGCCGCCCTCCGCCTGGGCCCGCCTCCGCTCACACGCACTTCCGGCGAGGCCTTGGCGCTGACAGCCTTTGTTCAGCCGACCCTCCCCACCCCCCCCCCACCCCCAAAGCCCAGCCGACCGCCGCCCAGAGCCCAGGGACCCTGCCCAGAGCCCCACGCGGTGGACTTTTATCTCCTTCAGGAGATGGACCTGATCTAGTTTTCCCCACGGCTGGGTAGAAAGTCATAAGGGTGCCTTTGGATGAAATGGTGCCTTATAACTCAGAAAGAATAATAGCTAATTTGTAAACCATGAATTCAAACAAAACTAAGAACTTGAAACGTTTTTAACCCCTCGTTCAGGGATCCGACAGAATTGAACTGATGCTTTAGTAAAGCCATGGACATGTATGCTACCTTGCTTCTACAGGCAGAGAAGAACTGAGTGCCAAAACGTGCTTGTTCATTTAGATCCAGATCTTACTGATAACTTCAGGGCTAATCCAAGGCCTATTCCTGTAGCGGGCAGGGCAAAGCAGTGTTCATATTTCCTTGCTGATTCCTTACACGTACCATGCTAAAATGTGTCTACTACCTCTCACATTACTAGGGAAATGTAAGACAATCATTAAGTCAGCTTTCAAGTCAATCTAAACACACAGTGCAAGCTGGGCAATGCGGGTGGATGCCTTTAATCCCAGCACTCTGGAGCCTGAGGCAGAAGAACTGCAGGCTTGAGGCCAACCTGCCTTGCATATTAGGGATGCCATTTCAAGAAAGGCCAGCATTGGGTTGGGGAGATGGCTTTGTGTGGAAAAGCACTTGCTGTGTCAGCATGAGGACCCGAGTTTGGCTCCCCAGAGCCAATGTAAAACCAGACATTTGGCACAAGTGCATGGAATGCCAGCGTTCCTATAGGAAAGGAGAGGCAGAAACATGCGAATCTCCTGAAGCTCACAAATGAGTTAGCCTGGTCTACAGTGTGGAAAAAGTACAATGAGAGCCTGTCTCGTCACCCAACGTTATCCTCTGTCTTCCACATGAGCACTGTTGTACAAACAAGCTTGCATGCATACACATGGATACAGATACACACACACACACACACACACACACACACACACACACACACACACACACACACGAGAGAAAGCCAGCCGTGGGGCCCTAGTTAGCCTTCATGAAGTGGAGACAGGAGGATGAAAAGTTCAAAGGACTCCAGGCATACTGGCACAGGCCTTTAATCCCAGCACTTGGGAAGAAGAGTCAGGAAGATCTCTGCATTTGTGGCCAGCCTGGTCTATACAGTGAGTTCCAGGATAGCCAGTGCTACACAGTGTGGCCAACCTTGCCTTGAAAAAAAAAAAGCAAACAAATAACAAGAGTTCAAGATTACCCTTGTCTACATAGCAAATTTAAGGCCGGTCTGGGCTGCATAAGACCTTGTCTTAAAAGGGGGGGGCACAAACAAGGAAAAGAAACAACGAAAGTGTGCTAGTCTGGCACCTGCTCTTTACAAAGGAGGAGGACAAGGAGTCCTCCAGTAAGCACCTGTTGTGCAAGCCTGAACTTGCCTTCCCTTGAGCTCAAGCCCCCAAACCACACAAACGTGGATAGAGAAGCAACTCCACAGATGAGTCCTTGGACCTCTACATGCATGCGTACTGTGGTAATGCCCCTCCAAATCATGGCTGTATGAACAGTAACAATAAACACTTTAAAAGTGCGGAAGAAGAAAGTCACACAGGTAGGGGTATTTTGAATCATTTGTAGGCCTTAGAGGGAGCTGTATTGAATGTAAAATGAGAGTCTGTCAATCAACTTTCAGATTATGGTTATCTTTAGGGAATCACCCATTGCAGGGCTGGGCCCTTGAAGCGGGTGGTGAGGAACATCACTTTGAGCTTGTTGCTGAAGGTCTTGTCATGCACTAACATGTAGGTGTCCATCTGCAGGATGAACTCCAGGAAGGGTTCCATGTCGCCATCCAACAGCTCAGGAAACTGGATGGAGTTCTGCTGAAGCCTGAAATGTGGGGTGAGTGGGGCTGAGAGGGCCTTTATCAGCTGCCCTCGAGCATCCATTGCTTTTTCTTGCTCTGCTGGACTTGGATGTACTCTGCTGGACTTGGCAGAAGTCAGCCCAGAAGCCTCACCAGAAGTGCTTCTGCATGGAGGTATGGCTGAGATTTCCTAGGAGTCCTAGGAGCTGGGGAGGAGCCTAGGAAATGAGGAGGGGTGTGGTTAGGGTGGAACCCACTGCCAGTGGAGTGTAAGTAGAAGGTCCTAGTTCTGCAAATTTATAGATCCTCCTCAACATACCCCTCCCTACATATCCTTGAGCTTATGCCATAATTATTCCTACTTGGAAACTCAGCTTTGGCTGCTAGATGAATTAGATGGTGTGAACATGTTTTCCTTCTCCATGCGTCTCTTACCAAGAGAAATATTGGCTCCCTGACTGCAGATCTGGTAGTTTTGCAGCATCACTAGGAACGACCAAATATTTGGAAACAATATAAAGCAGAATACTCAAAGAATACTGTACCAGAAGTTGTTACAGCAAGGAGGATTAAATGTCAAGAAAGCTCCTAAGTTTTTATACATGCTGCCCTGCAATTCTGTGAAATATTGTCCTGGGCAGAGTCAGTTCCTAACAATAAAGCTTGATTCTTTGTAACCATCAGGAGGAAGTGTGAGTTTGCTTGCAAGACAATATAGTTGGGTGGTGGTGGTGGTGGTGGAGGGGCTTATCTCACCACTTCTTCAGCATTTTATTGGCAAGTTATAGGTCACAGTCCCCACCCACACTCCAAAATATAATTGCCACACACCCTGATTTACTGCCATTTGTCTTAAAAATGTGAAGATTTTTTTTAATTAGTAGGGATGGATATCCAACCCAGGACCTTGCATACTGTGCTACTAGAGATACATTTTTCATTGATTGGGACAGGGTTTCATGTGGCCCAGGGCTAGTCTCCAATTCACTATGTAACCAAAGCTTGCAGTGAACTACCAATATCTCTCCAAATGCATAGGATTATCATGCCCAATTTATATAGTGCTAGGGATCAAACTCAGGACCTTGTGTATACAACGTAGGCAAGCTACCAACTGAGCTATATTCTACCCCAGCATTTGCTTTTTAATATATATATATATAATCACATATATTTTATACATTCTATATCTTATTTATATATTTATTGTTATTGTATATATATGTGTATGGTGCATTTGTGAGGGCAGGCATGTGCATGGCGTCATGTGGGCATCAGGGCTCTTTTACTTAATGAGTCATTTTGCTGGCCCAGCATTTGCTTTTTTGAGACAGTCTCATTACAAAACCCAGCCGTGTCTCAACCTCAAGATTTTCTAGCTTCTTGTTAGTGGGGTTTTAGGTAAAAACCATAATGCCTGGTACAAGTTTAATTTATCAAGAAAAAATCAGTAAGAAATAATTGTATTAATTAAAAAGAGCATTGGCAAACTAACTTTGCACCAGAGTTACCTGTGTCCTAAGAACCTGAACAGATAAAGCTAGTGGGAATTAAGGTTACAGAACTATAGGTACAGATCAGATGAATTTAAAACTACGTAATCCTTGACTATCTAGTTACAAAAACTCATAATATTAGAAGGCTATGGAAGTATGTTATAGTCTTCTAGAAGCTGGGAATGGCTGTAATTTATAAAGCAAGAAAAAGACCTCAATTATGCAACCATAATGAACTGATTCTGGCAATACCAGAAAGAACAGGGAACATCCATCCCAATATTGTTTTACTCTGGTAGAAGCCATACCAAATCTGGACATGGTAACTCACACCTGTAATCCCAGAACTTGTGTGGTGAGGCAGGAGGACTGCTAAAAGTTCAAGGCTGGCCTGGGAGATAAGGGAAGACCCTATTTCAAAAATAAATGAAAAAAATAATAAAATATAGATACCAGGAACACATTGATACAGCACACAGAAACATATCTTTTCTGTGATATGCCAAGTAAAAATAAGCAATTTTAATTATAAGGCATCATCAGATTAAGGTATATGCAAGGACATGTTACAAAACGGTTGATGAATTTTTCTAAAACCAATGCATCAAGGGCCAGGCCCTTTGAAGGAACCCATAAGAGGAAATAATATGAGATGGGAATACATACATTAGACTAAATTCAATTTCAGAATATATGCATGCTCTCCAACACAGGACATCCAGTTGTGACCTCAATACAAACTTTCACCATTGTCTGTTTCCCTAGGGAAACTAAGGCCAGCCTGTGATCTCCCCCACACACCCACAAAGCAAGCTACCGGAGAATGAACTCAGAGTCTTCAGCATGCCAGGCAAGCCATTTGAGCTATAGCCCCAGCAATTCTGCTTTTCTGAGACAAGGGTTTTATTCTGTAGGCAGAGTGACCTTAAACTCATGGCAATCTTCCTTCCTCCACCTCTGAAGTACTGGGATTACTGAAATGAGCTACTACACTCGCCCCACACCCTCTTGGTGAAAGCCTTGAGCACACTTCACTATGCTCCACTAACCCTGTTAGTGCTTTTCCAGGACCAGCGCCTGAGGTAACCACATAGCCCTGTAAGATAAGATCACACCAGCTCCAAAGGCAGCACAGCTCCCGCCCACACGTCCCTCCCCTTCCTGAGATCCAGGGCCCGCCTCCGCTCACACGCACTTCCGGCGACGCCCAGGCACTGACAGCCTCTGCGCTCAGTCGAGCCTCTGAAGCGCAGCCGACCTCGCCGAGAGCCCAGCGGCCCTGTACAGAGCCCGGCCACCCCGCGACGAGCCCAGCAGAGCCAGCGCAGCGCCATGGAACGCCGTGTGAAGTGGACAAAGGCCCTCATAGCCTGGCCCACCCTGCTGCGTGACAGACCGCGTCACTTGAACCCCATCCCGTTTCCCGAGCTGTTTGATGGCGACACCGACCGCCTCCCGGAGTTCATCGTGCAGACGGGCGCCTACATGTTGGTGGACGACAAGATCTTCGACTGCGACGAACTCAAGGTGACGTTCCTCATCACCCGCCTCAAGGGCCGGGCCCTTGAGTGGGTGATCCCCTACATCGAGCAGAAAAGCCCCCTGCTAGCCGATTACAAAGGCTTCCTGGCTGAGATGAAGCGTGTGTTCGGGTGGATAGACGACGGGTGGGAAGAAATAGAGGCGGACAGGAGGAAGAAGGCGGAGGAGAGGAAGAAGAAGGAGGAGGAGAGGAGGAAGAAGAGGGAGGAGAGGAGGAAGAAGAAGAAGGAGGAGAAGGAGAAGAAGGAGAAGGAGGAGAAGGAGAAGAAGGAGAAGGAAGAGAAGGAGAAGAAGGAGAAGGAGGAGGAGGAGAAGAAGAAGGAGGAGGAGGAGAAGAAGGAAGAGGAGAAGAAGGAAGAGAAGGAGGAGGAGGTGAAGGAGGAAAAGGAGGAGGAGGTGAAGGAGAAGGAGGAGGAGGTGAAGGAGAAGGAGGAGGAGGTGAAGGAGGAAAAGGAGGAGGAGGTGAAGGAGAAGGAGGAGGAGGTGAAGGAGGAGGAGGAGGTGAAGAAGGAGGAGGAGGTGAAGGAGGAGGAGGTGAAGGAGGAGGAGGAGGAGAAGGAGAATTAGGACTTCTAGGCCGCCAGCTCCCCAGGCCTGGGGCGGGGCCCTGCGAGGGTGGGCTGCTGCCAAGCTCGCATCACTGCAGCCAGGATCGCCTGGGCGCCCTCCCACCGCGCCTCCCTCCTTCCCGAGCCCCCCTCCCCCCCTCCGAGATCTCGCATGCGCGCCCGCCCGTGTCCCCTCCTATGTCCTCCTTGCCTTTGTTCTAAGAATAGCTCTCCAGGCTCCCGCTGCTGTCGCCGTGGGGCCTGGCTCTGGAGAGCACAATGCCTCCCAGTGCTGACAGCCCAGCCCCTCCCAGGCACGTTTGGACACTGTCCTAGGCTCCAGCTGCCATCAGGATGGGCCCCTGTCACATAACGGACAGATCGCCCGCCGCCAGACGCTGTCGACTGCCTCCTGCCCGGTGGACAGCCTGTGCCCATCTACCCACAAGGTCTGCGCTGCCGCTGCCATTTCAAACCCCTGCACCCACCATCTGTGGACGTGGACTGACTGCTGCCCTGAAGGGATCTGGACTCACGTGGGAGGTACCTGAGCCGCCCACAGCCCATGGACATTGATTCAACTTCAGCGGGACCCATTCCCACCCTTTTTCCAGAGATCTCTTGTCTCTCATTTTGTCAAGTGGACCAGTTCATTTTCCTGAGAATCCAGTTTTCTTTCTGAATTTGCGGCTGTCTGTCTGGTGTGTGTGCCTTTGTTCAACACAGTAACCCCTGTGCTCTTTCCAGCTCGTCTGCTCTACTTGTCCAAAAGCCTCTTCCTTACTTTCAATAAATGTCAGATGCTGTTTAAAAAGAAATTGAGTCTTCCTTGGTATAGCATCTTACCGTCCCCACCCCCACACTCCCACCCCTGCAGGTGTCTGCTGATGATCCCTTCCTTGTTCAAGAGGTATGTGTGTGGTCTGCTATTCATTGACTTATATTAACCTCTATAAAATCCTTTTGTTATCCTGCTTGAAGCCACATATTAAATCTTTACATCATATCAGTCTATAGACATGTGACTAGTATGATCCAGGAGGCTTCTTATAAAAGACTCCTGATTTCCAAAAATACTAAAATCGAATTCTCTAATTAGTACTAACCACAAATACCACACTTGTTGGTGAATGTATATCAATGTTATTTAACACATTACTCAGGGAACTAACAGAAAAATCAATCTTTTAAAAAGGCATTTATAGAATCCTGATTGTATAGGCAATGGGGAAAATACATAATGGGATCGTGAATTTAGCCCCAAAACTGGTTGATAATCTACAGGATGGTGGAGATATATATTTCCTGAGGTAGACATGGTATTATACATCTTTAGTTCCAGAACTTAAGAGGCTAATGTACAAGTATGACAAGTTGGAGGTTAACCTGGGCTATATAGTTAGATGCTGTCTAAAAAATTAAAATAAGGGTGCATATCACCTGCACAAGTTCAAACCAGACAAAAATCCCACAAAAGAGAAGAAGACGTGTACACAAAATCCCACTCCTAACCAAGTACCTATTTCCAATTGATAAATCAATTATTGTCCAAAGCAGCGTCACTAGATGTATCAACCACACTCCAGGGCAGCCTCATGCCCAGGAGCAGTTGGTAAGGAGATAGGAATGATCTGGAAGGAGCTGGTGAGTGGTAAGAATATGACAAAAATACATGGTGTGTAAAAAAAAAAAACATAATAAAAGCCAGGTATGTTGGCTTACGTGCAGAGAAAAACTGTCAGTTTGAGGACAGCCTGAGCTTTATAGTGAGAGCCGAGACAGCTCACGCTGCAAGTTGAGACCTTGTTTCACAAAAATGCAAGGTCATTATCTCATTAATAAAAGTAAACTTCTGTATCAGGCAAGAGAAATGCATTCCCCATGGTACAGGTACAGCTTAACCCTTAGTCATATAGTGCTTTAAGAAGCACGGGCTATCAATAGTTGCTTAATAAAGCTCAATATCCTGACTCCAATGATTCAAAAGTGGGTTTCTAGGACAACATTCTGTGTGAGGTTAAGAGATGTAATTAACTTTTCACTATAGGTTTTGGAGATTTCCTAAAATATGTCATAGAAGAATGAATAGTGTATTTGATGTTTGCATCAGTTCATTTTGTACAACATATTATATATTGAGTAATTTATAAAAAGTTATTTATTGGGGTTGGAGAGATGTTAAGGGCACTGGCTACCTTTCCAGAGGACCCAGGTTCAATTCTCAGGACCCACATGGCAGTCTACAGCCATCTGTTACTGCAGACCCTGGCAATCTGACACTCTCTACTACCCACCATGGGCACTGCATGCATGTGGTACACAGACCATGTGGTGCGTGCAAAACATCTGTGTACATAAAATGAAAATGTTATCATTTTTGGACAGGGTCTCAGTGTGTGTGTGTGTGTGTGTGTGTGTGTGTGTGTGTGTGTGTGTGTTTGTGTGTGTGTGTGTGTTTGTGTGTGTGTGTGTGTGTGTGTGTGTGTGTTTAGTTACCTTTCTCATGCTGTAATAAAACACCAAAAACAAGACAACTTTTAAAAGAGTTTATTTAGGTTTACAGTTCATACAGCCATGATTTGGAGGGGCATTACCACAGTACGCATGCATGTAGAGGTCCAAGGACTCATCTGTGGAGTTGCTTCTCTATCCACGTTTGTGTGGTTTGGGGGCTTGAGCTCAAGGGAAGGCAAGTTCAGGCTTGCACAACAGGTGCTTACTGGAGGACTCCTTGTCCTCCTCCTTTGTAAAGAGCAGGTGCCAGACTAGCACACTTTCGTTGTTTCTTTTCCTTGTTTGTGCCCCCCCCCCCTTTTAAGACAAGGTCTTATGCAGCCCAGACCGGCCTTAAATTTGCTATGTAGACAAGGGTAATCTTGAACTCTTGTTATTTGTTTGCTTTTTTTTTTTTCAAGGCAAGGTTGGCCACACTGTGTAGCACTGGCTATCCTGGAACTCACTGTATAGACCAGGCTGGCCACAAATGCAGAGATCTTCCTGACTCTTCTTCCCAAGTGCTGGGATTAAAGGCCTGTGCCAGTATGCCTGGAGTCCTTTGAACTTTTCATCCTCCTGTCTCCACTTCATGAAGGCTAACTAGGGCCCCATGGCTGGCTTTCTCTCTGTGTGTGTGTGTGTGTGTGTGTGTGTGTGTGTGTATCTGTATCCATGTGTATGCATGCAAGCTTGTTTGTACAACAGTGCTCATGTGGAAGACAGAGGATAACGTTGGGTGACGAGACAGGCTCTCATTGTACTTTTTCCACACTGTAGACCAGGCTAACTCATTTGTGAGCTTCAGGAGATTCGCATGTTTCTGCCTCTCCTTTCCTATAGGAACGCTGGCATTCCATGCACTTGTGCCAAATGTCTGGTTTTACATTGGCTCTGGGGAGCCAAACTCGGGTCCTCATGCTGACACAGCAAGTGCTTTTCCACACAAAGCCATCTCCCCAACCCAATGCTGGCCTTTCTTGAAATGGCATCCCTAATATGCAAGGCAGGTTGGCCTCAAGCCTGCAGTTCTTCTGCCTCAGGCTCCAGAGTGCTGGGATTAAAGGCATCCACCCGCATTGCCCAGCTTGCACTGTGTGTTTAGATTGACTTGAAAGCTGACTTAATGATTGTCTTACATTTCCCTAGTAATGTGAGAGGTAGTAGACACATTTTAGCATGGTACGTGTAAGGAATCAGCAAGGAAATATGAACACTGCTTTGCCCTGCCCGCTACAGGAATAGGCCTTGGATTAGCCCTGAAGTTATCAGTAAGATCTGGATCTAAATGAACAAGCACGTTTTGGCACTCAGTTCTTCTCTGCCTGTAGAAGCAAGGTAGCATACATGTCCATGGCTTTACTAAAGCATCAGTTCAATTCTGTCGGATCCCTGAACGAGGGGTTAAAAACGTTTCAAGTTCTTAGTTTTGTTTGAATTCATGGTTTACAAATTAGCTATTATTCTTTCTGAGTTATAAGGCACCATTTCATCCAAAGGCACCCTTATGACTTTCTACCCAGCCGTGGGGAAAACTAGATCAGGTCCATCTCCTGAAGGAGATAAAAGTCCACCGCGTGGGGCTCTGGGCAGGGTCCCTGGGCTCTGGGCGGCGGTCGGCTGGGCTTTGGGGGTGGGGGGGTGGGGAGGGTCGGCTGAACAAAGGCTGTCAGCGCCAAGGCCTCGCCGGAAGTGCGTGTGAGCGGAGGCGGGCCCAGGCGGAGGGCGGCCTGAGGGTGGGGCCCAAGAGCATCTGCAGAGCCTGTGCCGCCGCAGGGTCCGGAAACCCTGGTGGTCGCCAGTGCGCAGGCGTGTCTCTGGGCAGACTCAGGCGACTGCTTCTGGAGTGGTTCTTTTGCAGGGGAGCGTCAGCAGTCCAAAGCACAGGGAAGGGAACCTAGCTTACCTAGGCGCTAGTGAGGAAGAGTCAGACAGCGTGGGAGGATAATGGATTCCTGGCATCTTTTGGTGATGGTGCAATTCAAGATCACCAGAGACTAGGAGATCAATTGTGGAGTTCTCCTGTGCGCATTCACAGCCCCTCCCTCGCCAGCTGCTGTGTTTTCCTTCCCAGACCCTAGGACGTGGACACCCCTTGAGAGCTAGCTCTTCAGTGCACACAATTTCCTGTCTCTTGTCTCTGAGAGAAGGACTAGCTCTCTCTCTCCATCTGCCGACGTGGATGCTTTCAGGCACCGATAGGAACCCCCGAAGTGTTAGGGAGCGGACTACAGAGCCGCGCTTTCTTAGAATGTTGCAGCAGCGGCACTGTCAGCCATCCATATCAGGAGAGTTACATGTCAAGGAATCTCTAAATTTCCTGCGTTAGCATACCAAGAGATGATCATCTGAATAGAGTGTGAAAAAGGAGAGTGGGAAGAAGCTTACCAAGTATTACACGATGCAGGGCAGTGTCCAAAAATAAAAGGGAAAGCAACCAGATTTTCCAAAATTGGAGAGAAGAAGAGGAAGCTTGACAGTAGGCGTTATGCACGAACCCAGTTGTTTAAATTCTTTTTTTAACATTTTTTTTTTAAATTTTGCAATACAATTCAGTTCTACATATCAGCTAAATACATGATTAACATTTGTTCACCAGCATCTTTGCTGTGTCCAGAAAGCAGCACGGTAAATGACATGATTTAGTTGCGACTCAAAGCGTGAAGCAATTAAAATAGGGCCTAGGAACAAAGCATAAGAACTGTAAACATCAGAATTGGAAATGGAAAGAGACCCCGAGGTTGAAAGACATGACGTGAATGCGTCAGCGTCATGAATATGATAATCTTGCTTATGTAAGGAGATTGTGCAGTTGTGAATTTACAGGCCCCTTGCAGAGCTGCAAATGTTAACCCAGCAGCTACTGTCCCATACCAACCAGGTGGCTCAAGAATTTATTCCTCTATGTGTACATGTTTCCTCCTTGTCTGGTGGTACCATGACCTTTTAATTTTTTTTTAATTTTTTTTTGTCATGAATATACTATTTTTTTAAATTCTTTTTTTAACATTTTTTTTTTAAATTTTGCAATGCAATTCAGTTCTACATATCAGCCACGGATTCCCTTGTTCTCCCCCCTCCCGTCCCCCTCACCTTCCCCCCAGCCCCCCCCCCCCCCCATTCCCATCTCCTCCAGGGCAAAGCCTTCCCCACAGACTGAGATCAACCTGGTAGACTCAGTCCAGGTAGGTCCAGTCCCCTCCTCCCAGGCCGAGCCAAGCAATCCTGCATAGGCCCCAGGTTTCAAACAGCCAACTCATGCAATGAGCATAGGACCCGGTCCCACTGCCTGGATGCCTCCCAAACAGATCAAGCCAATCAACTG